TTTATAAAATTAAAACTTAACTTTTTTGAAGACTTAGACATGTTAACTTTTAAGGGATTAATATCATTCATATTATTAAAATAATGTTAAAGTTATTGAAGCCTCATTCTGAGTTAAGTTTTCTTAAACCAAGAAACGTGGTGGTGTTATTGAATAGACTGTTCCAGGCTCTGTGCTTTATTCTGCTTCTACCATTTCTATAATATACCACACAGAAGTTATTTTCTTTTGTTAAGATTACAGGCAAACTGAGATTGATATATCGAAATACTTCCTATCTTGTCTTGGCTTCATTGAAAGGCAGTTCTTAGAAATCAATTTTCCTTTTTGGGGGGGCAGCAGGGGGATAATAGGTAACATACTTTCAGAATTTGCTAAGTAACTTTAAATTAGTATGTTTAATTTTTTCAGGAGATATATTGGTTTGATATACATAAACACATTTTATAGAGGCCAGGTGCAGTGGCTCATGCCTGTAATCCTAGCACTCTGGGAGGCCAAAGTGGGTGAATTGCCTGAGTTCACAGGTTCGAGACCAGCCTGAGCCAAAGCAAGAGACCCTGTCTCTAAAAATAGCCAGGCGCTGTGGTGGGTGCTTGTCGTGCCAGCTACTTGGAAGTCTGAGGGAAGAGAATTGCTTAAGCCCAAGAGTTTGAGGTTGCTGTGAGCTGTGACGCCGTGGCACTCTACCAAGGGTGATATTGTGAGACTCTGTCTCAAAATAAAAAATGCATTTTATAATCCTTAATTCCCACCTACATAATACACCTTTTTAAAAAAACTTGCCTTTTGAAAGATTGTCATTATGAGAAGTTTTAAAGAATACTTCAAATCCATCCAAGTCCAAATTCACCTTGGATTTTACAGAAATTTCACGTTGCTATAACTTACTTTTGGTTTAAGAGAATTGAGCCAAAGGAATGTTAAGTCGCCAAAAGAGACTTTAATTACAAATAGAAAGTTATTTTTATTTTGAAGATCTGGTGAGGGACAAACTTCTGCTTAAGTTATAGAATTTATCTTCTTATAAATTCTTAAAAATTAAAACTGTTGGAAGGTGTTGGGTTTTGCAGGTTACTTAAACAATGAGACAGTGTTGAAATCAGTTGTGTACTTGTGATTTGTTTTTTATATAAGTAATTCAGAACACTGGAGCTTGTTTTAAAAACAGTTAAGACAGCTGTCGTATGCACTATTAAACTGTCCATTGTTTCTTTTCTGTTTAAGTGGGAGAGCCATGCCTTTTACTGTATATTTGATCACCAAATCTACCTCTCTTTAATACAACTTATTCTTACTCATGTCCCTACTGTATTGTTAATAGCCAAGAGACTTTTATTTCCAGAGAGGCTGTTTATCTCTTTGTTTCTTCTAGATTTTTCTTTGCTTTGACTGCTTAGTTTAGTGAATGAATCTAGGATTGATAATTTTGATTGATTGATACTAAGCACAATTTAGCTAATTGGATTGTCTCTTTTACATTTTACTAATCTGGCCTAGTTTTGCCATGAGTTTGAGGTAGTGAATTTTGAGCCAACATCATCTTTTCTCCTGAATTCTCTGAAAAAGGTTAGTTCCTGAGGTTAATGTCAATCTCAAGGAAAGAGAGTATATACCCTACAAGATACAGCTTTTGGATGATTTGTACCAAAGATAAATTACTTGTTGTGACTACTGAATTGTTATAAACACCCTGGGGCTTGACCAGAACTAAGCCTTGCCCCTTTCTACAAGGACAGGGCACTAGACAGTATTGCCCTAGCATTTGCTCAAGTCTATGTATTAGTCTGCTCTGGCTGCCATAACAAGCTACCAGACGGGGTGGATGAAGCAACAGAAATTTATTTTCTCATAATAAAAGGCAGAGATCAAGGTTCGGTTTCTGGTGAGGACTGACTTCCTGGCTTGGCTATGACTACCTTTTCACTTTGTCCTTACATGGCTTTTCTTTGTGCTCCTAAGTTGGGGAGGAAGGAGAGTTGTCTCTTCTCAGAAAGCCAGTAATCATGACTGTTAACTCCCAAAGACCACATCTCAAAATACCATCATATTGAGGGGTTAGGGCTTTAACATAGGAATTTGGGAGTACACAGACATTCAGTAATATGTACATTTATTCTCAGTAGAATTTTTAGAGTTGCAGAATTATCTTTCTCCCTGAAGTGAGTAACTTTGTTTTTCAATCCAAGATACTGTGAAATACTAAGTTATACGATGAAAGATGTACTATATTTCTATGGTAGATTTGTGTTTATTTGTGTGTATATAAGACTCACTTATGGTTCCTTCCTTTGACATCTCCTTTAAATATCTAGAATCCATCGTTTTTCCTCTTGTGCGACTAACATTTTGTTTTTTTCCAGTAAACTTATTAACAATGCAAACTGAATGAAGCTTGCCTGTGCTTTTATTTTATAAGACTTTATAGGAGATATTTGTCACTTTTGATAAAGGGGAAAAAACTTGCTTTAATTTACTGACACAGGCATACATTTTTCTCTCTTTCTCAAGTATTTATTTGTGGTATTGATTACTGCCATTGTATAGACATCTGAAGATTATAAAAACAAATAATTATATGCAACCACCTAGTTGAAACTTGTAATTATTTATTTTATGACTCAATAAAATTTAATTTCTATAAACTCGCTGTTGAATGATTCACTCCGTGCCACAATTTCAAATAAAAGTTAAAGCAAGTATTTCAGCTGGCATTCTAATAGGCTTTTCCTAATTTTATCAGATTGTTTAAAATTTCACCAGCCTACCAAATGTTTAGTAGCTTCTTATGTGTGGGAGAATCAAATTAATGCAACTTTTAAAGCAACAGATATTAGTAATATGAAGAGAAAAAAGTCACTGCTTTCTAGATTCTGTAAATGAATGTAAATTCTTGGATATTCCTGGGCATTGCCTGTACGGCCAGTTTATTATTCTACTTTATATGATTAAATTGAGACAACAAGGCTGTGTTTTGAGGTTATTGTTCCAGGGCTCTTAATTTTATTTCCTGTTCACATAATGAATCGTTGATTATTAATCTCCTAGGATATCACCTTTTCAACATTAAGATTAAAATTTGTGACTGAAGCTGTAACAAAGAGGATGTATCAGTTAAATTAAGACAGTCTATTTAGTATATCTATTTTAGAAAAATCTCCCAAAAATTCTTATGTTCATTTAAGACTTATGTTCATAAAAGACTTATGTTCATTTAAGATTATTTTGAAATTTTCTATTTGCCATCTAATGCCTAATCTATATTAAATATCTTTGCAACAAATAGTGTTTAATTTTAAAATAATAGAAACAGGCTCAGCACCTGTGGCTCAAGCAGCTAAGGTGCCAGCCACATACACCTAAGGTGGCGGGTTCGAATCCCCAGCCCGGGCCCGCCAAAGAACAATGATGGCTGCAACCAAAAGATGGCCGGGGGTTGTGGCGGGCGCCTGTGGTCCCAGCTACTTGGGAGGCTGAGGCAGGAGACTCGCTTGAGCCCAGGAGTTGGAGGTTGCTGTGAGTGTGATGCCATGGCACTCTACCCAGGGTGATAGCTTGAGGCTCCGTCTCAAAAATAAAATAAAATAATAGAAACAACTTAAGTAGAGTATAAGTAGAATATAAACAACCCTACTTAGAGATTTAGTTTTTTAATTTGTGAAGATTTAGGTTCTTTTGATAATACTGAAAATATTCCTATTTGTATTTTACATGTGTGTGTGAGATATAGACTTTCTACTACTATTTTCTACCTTTGAATGAAGTGAATATATTTATGTTTTCAAAGTAAATTTCAGAAATTAATTTTTCTTAAATGATTTTTCAATATCAAGGGATAAATTACTGGAAAAAAGCAAAAGAATGAAGGAAATAGAGAAATATTCAAATGTATCATTCAGAAATAACCTCTGTTCCATGTGGTCTAGAATTGTAATTGTACTGGGTCCACATTTAGGCCAAGGTAGTCTATATAGGGTGTGTAAAGTTCACGTGTAATTTAAAAAACTATTTTAAATATCACAAAAACTTTATGAACACTCTGCATTTATTTACTCAACGAATATGTATTCAAAAATACTCTAAGATCGAGCATTTATAGAAAGTTCCACTGAAATTAGGCGTATTCCTATCCATTCTTTAAGTAATATTCAATATAGTTTTTTGTTTGTTTTTTTGCGATAAAATCTTACTTGGTCAACCTGGGGTTGAGTGTGGTGGCATCATTGCTCACAGCAACTTCAAACTAAATTTGTTTTGACAAAGGGGATGTGTGTAAGACATGGGTGATATGTTTACTTATTTATTTTAGTGTCTAGTTTTAAAATCCAAATGTTGTGTGCTATAAGACAAATATATCAATTATTTTTGCATTAAATAATTGTTAAAATAAATTTCTTTAGGATTTGTTTACATTTGTTCTGATAACTGAGGGTCTACCATAGCATTCTAAAATTTTTTTACCATACTGTCTCTTTGGGATTGCAGTGGGATTTACCTAAAGTGGTTCTATTTTGCATGGGTATTTGTATTCCAAATGCTTTAATGTCTAGGAATTAGTTCTGTTTTCCTTTCTTTCTCTTTTAACTGTTACTAAAATTTTTTCATTGTTTTCTACTAATAAATTATTCCCTCTTAAATAAAAATTTAGATAAACCAGAAATAAAATTTTCAGCTCATTTTGTGTTATAAGTCATTTTCCAATTACTTTGCAGTCACCTTCAGTGTAGACATTATAAAAATAGATTTCTTATAGTACAGAATAAAACCCAGCATCTCATTAGGAGTAGATTTTATGTGGAGGGTGGTTTCTTGAAATAGGCTTTTGCCTTATCTCTTTCCATCTTTCAGGCATTGGAAAAAACACTTTGGTCTTTTAACTCAGTGGTACTTTATAACACATTATTCTTTCCATCAATGTAAAAAGTTAAGGCGTGGGTAAAAATATCTTTTTATATCACAAATAAATTGAGCTTGTTATAGTCCCCTCTCTTCATTTTCAGGAAGAGGCAGAAATCCAGGCAGAACTAGAACGTTTGGAAAGAGTCAGAAATCTTCATATACGGGAGCTCAAAAGAATAAACAATGAAGATAATTCACAGTAAGTCATTATTTGTATTTCATGGTTTCCTATGATACAAATTCACCCCTCCATAGAGGACCTAAATATGGTATTTCCTTGCTGGAGTGTCTCATCATGCTTAGAAAAGATGCAGAGTTCTTCCCATGACTTTTATGATCTGCTCTTTTGCTACCTCACCATCCACACTGTTCTCTTGAACATACCCCGAACATTCCCATCTCACTGGGCTTTTATGCTTGCTGTTTCCTTTCCCTGAAATGTTTCTCCTTAAATATCTACGTGGCTTACTGCTTATTTCACTCCAAATGTTCATTAGAGAGATGCTCCTTAGGCTCTTTTTCATACCATTACTGTGCTTTACTTTTTTGTGGTATTTATCACTATATGGAATTATTAATTTTTCAGTTACTATCTGTCTTTTCCTCATTAAAATATTGAGGTGCTTAAGGAGAACAGCAACTTACTTTTGTTCTTCCTGTATTTCTAGAGCCTATACCAGTCCTTGGCACATGATAGACGCTTCATAATACTCATACCTAAATACCAAAGTTAATGTTAATAGTAATGAAGAAGTTATTTCAGCTAAAGATATTTCAGTAAGCCATGTATTCAGCATTATGTGAGAATTTGGGGAAGAAAATAGAAAAGAAGTATAAGATAGTCTCTATTCTTAATCTCTGGTTATCAAAATGAGGGCTGTAAATACTAAATGTATTTACACACATGGATGGAGCTGGAACATATTCTTCTTAGCAAAGTATCTCAAGAATGGAAGAAGAAGTATCCAATGTACTCAGTCTTACTATTATGTATGTACTCAGTCTTATGAAAGCTATAACCCAATTATACCCCAAGAAGAAGGGGAGAGGGAGAGAAGGGGAGGATGGGTGGAGGGGGGTAACTGGTGGGACCACACCTACAGTGCATCTTACAAGGGTACATGTGAAATTTACTAGATGTAGAATATAAATGTATTAACATAATAACTAAGAAAAATCCCATGAAGGCTATATTAACTAATTTAACAGTCAAAAACATGAATGTTAACCAGTTTACAGATGAAAACATACCAGATGAAAACATTTCAAACTGTATATAAAACAAGCACACATTGTACCCCACGATTGCATTAATGTGCACGGCTGTGATTTAATGAATAATAATAAAATGTAAATACTAAATGTTAAAGGAATTCAAAGAAGAAAAAATATGTGTGGGCTTGTGGAATCTCCATAAAGAAGATAGAAATTGAGCAAGAAGATAGACATAGAAATTAAGCAAGATACTATTTGGGTTTAATGTAAAACAGAGGAAGGGGCCTATAATCAGTGGCTCATGCCTATAATCCCAACACTTTGCGAGGCTTAAGTAGGAGAGTTACTTGAGGCCAGGAGTTTGAGACCAGCCTGGGCAATGTAACAAGACCCCATCACTACAAAAATATATATTTTTTCTAATTTAAGAAAAAGCAAGGGGTGGCACCTGTGGCTCAATGAGTAGGGCACCAGCTCCATATACTGAGGGTGGCAGTTTCGAACCTGGCCCCAGAGAAACTGCAACAAAAAAGTAGCAGGGCATTGTGGTGAGCGCATTTAGTCCCAGCTACTCAGGAGGCTGAGGCAAGAGAATCGCCTAAGCCCAAGAGCTGGAGGTTGCTGTGAGCTGTGACGCTACAGCACTCTACCGAGGGCAACAAAGTGAGACTCTATCTCTTAAAAAAAAAAAAGGCAAGATGAAGAGTGTCTGTGAACACTTTGTCTTTAATTAAGACTATTCATGTGATTTAAAGTTTCATGGCTTAATATAAGTATCAGAAACGGAAGTGACTAGTTTTTTTGTGAAACCTGAGTATCTTGCCCAGGAGAAGGCCTGTGTATTGACGATTATCTATTTATGTGTGATTCATAATACATATGTAGATCATTCTAGTGTATGGGGTGAATGAACAAATACAGTCATAGAATAACCTAAATTTTGTCAGATTAAATTCCAATAAAGTGGATGGAACAAAACTAAACTATTCTGAAAATTATGTTCAAACTTTGTGCATGTGACTTAGATTGATGAAAATAAAGTGCATTGTTAACAGGTTTCCAGTGTGCCTTGAAACTAAGAAGGAATTTTTTTTTAATTTATTCTTCAAGAAAATTTTAGATTATATTAAAAGCTTCAATCTACATTCAATTCATTTTAAAGAAAATAACAGAATAGAACATATTTGCATATGGAGTAATAAAGCTCTCGTTATCTTTTTTTAATTTTGAAATTAAACATTTGGAACCACATTTTTCTGCCAATTCCAGCTATGCGTTAGTGATTAAGCTTACACAAGTTACTTAACCTCTCTGTGCAACACTGCCTTCGTCTGTAAAATAGACAGAGGTATAGAGCCTACTTCACAGGGGTAATTGAGAGCTAAATAGTTAATACATGTTAGTGCTTAATAGAAATTCAAAATCTGAGCTCTAGAATTCAAAAATTTCTAAGCACCAACATGATGCTCAAAGGAAATAGTCATTGGAACATTTCAAATTTTGGATGCTCAAAGGTAAATGTAATGCAAATATTCCAAAATCCAAAATTTGAAAATTTCTATTCCCAAGCATTTCAAATAAGAGATATTCAACGTGTATATAGCAAGTAAAATAAATACTAAATAGTAATAGTATTATCTGTGAATGATGTATTTTTAAAAGGTTTACAAATCTTTACTTTTAAAATTGGTGATTAAAATTCTATTTTATGGCTCGGCACCTATAGCTCAGCCGGCTAAGGCGCCAGCCACATACACCTAAGGTGGCGGGTTCGAATCCCCAGCCCGGACCCTTTAGAAACACCAATAGTGGCTCGGCACCTGTG